AACAGACTTGCAAAATGTTCCAATATGTGCGCATTTTAACTGTCCCTATGCAGTTGTAAATGATCTGACAGCTATCTTTCTGCTACATTTTAGGTATTCTGGGCACTACAGCTGGTGATTGTACTCGTACCTGGAGCCTTTTTTCACCTTTACGCAGCATGTAAGAGCATCAAGCAGGAAGATATTCTCCAAAAGTCATCCTACACAGGGTTTTATATCTTCTCTGTTTTCTTAAGGATTGTCCTTGAAGTTGTTGCTTTTTGGCTTCAGATTCAGCTCTTTGGTTTCAAAGTGAACGCAATCTACATGTGTGATGTGGGAGCACTTGAAAAAAAGTTTAACGTTACCCGGTGCATGGTGCCAGAGCACTTTGAAAAGACAATTTTTCTTATTGCAATGTATACATTTACTGTGATTACAATGATCTTGTGTGTTGCTGAAATTTTTGAGATCTCATGTAGAAGGCTAGGTTTCTTAAAAACTCAGTGAGGTCAACCACTCCTACTCATTTACCACCGTGTCCACCTGTAGTTTAAACAAAATTATTTCAAGCCACAACAAAAAACATCTCCTGTCCTCTATGTAGTGTTGCAGAAGAGAACCACATTCACGATTAGTGCTGCAGAATAGTCATCTGACATTTACTCCTTATCTAAAAACTACCACATTATGTGAATAATCTTTGTTTCCATGTCAAGACTAAAGACAATAAGATTTAAAAGAGTAACATATTTTCATGACCTGCCACAAACAATAGTTTTGCCTCCAGAGGAATGTCTGTATGTGAGGAGGAGGTAATTTATAAATGTACTGTTATTCACAAGTTTTCTGAATGCATGCGATGGGGGCTAATAAGGTTATTGACCTTCCAAGAAAAACTATTCCAAATTTCTTACATGTTCTTATGGCTTGAGAATTAAGCGGTAATGGTGGATAATCTCTGAGTACCAGAAAGCATTTGAACAGCTTCCCAATCAGTGCCACTGTTACAACCTGCATCTCAGCTCCCTAGGGCAGAGACTCCTGGTTAGAACTGTGGGGACAACATATCCATCAATACCAGCTTGCTTTGTAGTGGTCCAGCTAGTTTCACATGCTGGCTGGGAATCTCCTTTTATAAGTGAGAGAGTCACATGGTATTCTTTGTGCTACCTGGAATGCCTTACCCTCCTTATGTTTTGGCTTAAGATGTAGAAGATTTTTAATAATTTAGTATGATCCCGTTTTGAAGGAGTAAAGACTTAATTTTGCATAAGAGGCTTAAAAGTGTCAAAATAAAATATCGAAGATAAGCCTTCTCTAGACCCAATAATGACTTGATTTCAGTGAGAGTTTTGCTTGTGTATGACTGCAGAATTGGGCCCTCAGAATTTTTTCCTGTATGTGTCACACCTAACTTCCTGCTCTGACTAAAGTTGCTAGAATAACAGCTAAAAAAGAAGTCTGCATACTAAAACTATTCTCTGCAATAAGTGTATGTGGTTACGTTAGGTTTCAAACTTTATATAGGTATCAGATATTTTTGTGTGCAACAGTTTCTTCTTAGGGACTAATAAACATATCAAATTTACAAGTGATTTCCTTCTGCTGAAGTGAGATAATGGAAATAAAACAGATTTTAAAACGGGAAAGAAAGGAGGAGGTAGTTTCCTGCATAAAATGCATAAGAATAGCAATCATAACAATTAGCTATTTTCTGTTTGTTTTTCAAACATAAAAACTTGAGGTCCCAGTGACATTTGGGTCCTTTCAGGAATATTTGGGAAATTCTGGAAAAATTATTACCAAATGTTTTAGCACCAACTGCTACTTATGCAGTCCCAAACAAGGTTGCAATCCTCACTCACAATAGTAGTCCTCGTTACATAAATGGAATTGCATGATTTAGGTGTCTTGGATTTGGTTGAATCTGGGCCATTTAAAACAAAGTGGGTGACAATTGGATGTGTGATTTTTTTAATATGCTGATCAAGAACAAGATGATAAATTTCAGTGCATTCACTCTATTAAAGCATTAATGTTATTTTTTTCCCTACGAGAATAAGATATATGTTGTCTTAAACAAATGTTCAGCCAACACCATCAGATTTGTTCAACATTAAACTTACTTGTAAGTTATTTGATATTTGCAAGCATTACAAGTGGAATAAAAATCACTGTGCTAATTTCTTGTTTGCATAATGTGCCTTGTGCTTTGGTTGATACATGTTTAATTTTTCACTGTATATGTCAGTATCCATCTGGACTTATTCTTTGCAACTGAAACTTGTAATCTCAGGTAAAAAACCCTTTTTTTATTTGTAAAAGAATACAATAGATAGAACTACTAAAAAGAAGAATTTACTTTCATGTGCTAGGTACAGTTGTGATCAATGGTATGCAAATCACATTTAATCAGATATTTGTATAGTAATAAAATAACTTAATCACAACCTTGTCAGTATTTTCCCTGGTGCTTAATATTTCCATTGCTTTCTGTTCTTCTTCTGTAGTGTAGATTTCCAAACACTTCAGAAGGGTCAGAGGAGTGCCAAAACCCCCAAGCCCTCAGGGGATGTCCTTGTTAACCACCAAGAGCCTTGAAGAATAAGAACTAGCAGGGGACTGCCTGAGGACCCCCAGGGGAGCTTTAGAAGCTGGATTACCCAGCACTATGCCCTTTCCCTTGGTGGTCAAAATCTGGAACATATTAAAAAGTTTCCTTCTTGGAAATGAGATACAACACCAATTTTTTCCCTGCATTTCCTGTGAAATTAAAATAGTCAAATTCCTCTGTTTTTCATTTAGAAACAAAATGTACATTATTGCCTTTTAGTGCAAATGTTTTTCTGTGACTGATTCTGTCATTAGTTTCTGGAACAAGGTGATGGAGATATTATCTTCATGTAAAGAAACCGTTTACCCATGGTTGTCAACACTTCTTTTTCCTATATTTGCCATTTGTTTGCCTGGCATTCATTGTACTCTCAAGGGTCTCTAAACTTTTCTTTCGCCTGGTCTCCCAAACTCCCACCACTTTAATCATCATTTACATTGTTTTCTATCAGCTTCCTTCCACCCTTACTCCCTCTGAGATTGATATGCCTTCATGTGTTTCTCTGTGTTACACTGATTTTAACTCAAATGCTTAGCATATATTTGAGATGATCTGAAGGTTTGGGGTTTTATTGCCTTTATGAAAGGAATTATATAATCCACTTCGGAATTCTTTGATTCAATTCTACTTCTTTACACAGAGAACATGAAGTCCTGTCTCCCAGAACACTGAGGAAGCATTTTTGTTGCTTACATCAGGTTTACGCTGTAAGAGCTTCTTTAATTTTTTCATTGTTCTCCACCATACTTGAGCCACCTCATTTTCACAGACAGCACTCAAAGCAATCCCCAGCTCATGTGTTTGTAGTCGGTTTTGTCTCTAGTCAGCGATCATGACCATTTTAGTTCTCACTTAACAAAGAGCTGTAATTGTGATGTGATTGCATTTACATCAAAGATAGAGCTGTTCTGGGCCAGCCAGCTTCTAGCATACCACCACAACATCCCAGTCCGGAAACCACTTCTTGTTCTGTTCCCTTCTTGGTATTCTTTTTCTGTTCAGACATCATTTCCCTTCTGTTCTCTTTTCAGCACTCTCCCATGCCAGCAATGAGACAATGCCATCTCTTCTACCCCATGCTTCCCTCCAACACACATCTTTATTTATGCCCTGGTGCATTGACATTCTCTTGCCTTGCAAACAGTCATCTTGAGAACCAAGAAGAGGTTTGGCATTAGGGCTATCTAGAAGAAATTTAAAAATAATTTTAATTATGCTGTCATAACGAGAAGCTGATAGACACCGAAATAATTCATATTGCAATAATTTGTGAGATCCATTTGAAACCATTTTGCTTCAACAGTTCATGACTTTTGCTGTTCTTATCTGCTCTCAGCAAAATCAGAAATCCCTGGAGATCCTTCCAATAAGAAGTTATCTGGGAAGTAGTGATCCTACAAGATGTACGTTCCAGGGCTGGTGGGCCTGCTGACGGCTGCTGGGAAGCAGCCCAGCCCTATTAGCCAGACCACGGTACAATACGGCTTCTCCAGCGGGATGAAGGGCAGAGGTCCAGGAGAGAAGGTGCAGTTCAGCCCACGAGGGCTCCCCGGACGCCTGGTGAGCCTTGGCGCAGCCCAAGGGGCAGGTTTTTCAATCTGAGATTTTACTTGCCGGGGTACCTCCAAGGGAGGGTCTGCACAGCTCTTTGGGAAGGGAGACGAGGGATGGGAAGGGCGAGGGCATAGCCGGGGCCAGGCAGGGCCAGAGGAAGCCGCGGCCGCCCCGAGATCTCCACGCCCTTCCTCACGGCTGCTGTGGGACGCGTTTCAAGCACTAAGGGGCCACGCAGGTGGCGCTTGAGGGTGTGGGTCCGCATGGGCGGACAGACGGACACACGCGCCGCGCGGCGCGGTGCCTCCCGCCCGGCCAGCAGGGGGCGCAGTTCCGCCCCCCCTTCCCCCCTCCCCCCGCCGGCCCCCGCCCACGGCGCCCGGAGCCGGAAGCGGAAGCGGCGCGCGCCAGCCCCGGGAGCGAGAGCTGTGCTCTGCCGCCTGCGCGCGCCATGGCGGCCCCGGCCCTGCCCCCGCTGCCGCCGCCGCTCAAGAGCATTCAGCACCATCTGCGGACCGCGCAGGAGCTGGACAAGCGCGAGCCCGTGGTGGCGTACTACTGTACGTGAGTGAGGAGGAGGCGGCCGCGGCGCCGCCCCGCCCCGCCGGTCCCTGGCTCGGCCACCGCCCCCTGCCCCGACCGCCAGTCGCCGCGCCGGGCGGAGCGCCCCTCCCTTCCCTTCCCTTCCCTTGCCTTGCCCTCCCCTCCCCTGCCTTGCCCGCCTGGGGGGCCCGTGGGATGTGCGGGTTCGCGAGGGTTCGTGGGGCGGGAGGGCTCCACCTCTGGGCGGTGCCGGGCGGTCGCGGTCCTGCCCCGACCCACCTCCTGCGGGCTCTGTCCTTTTGCGGAGTTAAAGGTTCTTCGCAGGCGGGGGCGTATGCCCGCAGCCCGAGTGCATGCTCGGACACACCTGTGTGAACTCCAGTGTTCCGTCAGTGTTGGGATAGCCGTAATAATTATGGTATAAAATAATACTCGAGAGCCTTTTCGAAGTTTTTCTCCTCCTGAAAAGACCTCCTTTCTGTCCTGTGTATCTGAGTAAGCGTTTAGGGTTTAAGAGTCTTTGGTCCTGCCGGTAGTGTTCATTTTATTTTCTGTGGGGCTTTGTCACCTTCTCAGGGTTCTCAAAAGGGGCGAGTGGGTGGCTCTTTTTCTCTGTGTTTCACTGAAATGAACACAGCAAAATCTTACTGTAGAACTTCAGAATTAATAGGCAAATTTTTTAAGCTGACATGGCTTCTAAGCTAATGGTCGTCAGGGTAGACTGTGAGCCTTTCTAAAAACCTTTTCATAGCGAACTAAGAAATGCGAGCCTGCTGTTAGTCTTAAATTCCTGTTACAGTTAAACCACACTGGGAAAATGCCTGAGATCACCAGAAATGTCTGTTTATGTCTGTGACGACCACTACCCTTAAGGGGAAGGAGGGTATCTAGTCACAGTGTTGTTTGTTTTTTTCTCTTTATTGAGATGCGAAATCATCTGAGGGGTTTACTTGGCTTGTCTTCAAAAAGAGCTAAAAAATAAATATAGTTTAATTTGTAAGGATGAATTCATGAAATTGGATCTTCAGAAAGCTCTGAAAAATCTGTCAGTTCAATGACAGAAGAATAATATAAACTTTTATGTGTTATGCAGGAATACTGCACTAATGTGGAAAACTGCAACCAGAGAAGGGAGATAGCCACATATTAGAACATTGGTTGTTCTCAATAGTATTTGCTCTTTATTTAATGGCAAAACATGAGACAAGGCACACTTTGTGTAGAAGGAATTACCAGTTAGGTCAAGTTACACTGATTTTTTGGTTTGGTATTTTTTTGTGCGTGTGTTTCTTTGGGTTTTTCTATCAGATGTAACACCCTATCTGGCTAGACAAGAAAAACACTAGCACTTAGTATAGATGACAAGATACAAGTCTGTTTTTGTTTTAAAACAGGAATGATTAAGTGTCTGGACTCTATTTTTCTTTGTCTTTTCAATTCTGAAACTTTATGTAAGTCTTATTGTAGAGGGAAAAAAAGCCTGTGTTGGATAATTACCATTTTCTGTAAAATTGTGTGCCTTGTCTGTCCGAAGCAGTCTGAAAATTTTATTTTTTCATTTGAATACTTCAACACATCTGATTAATTACTGAGTACAGTGAAGGCTATATTCTAATTAAAGTATTACATAAAGTGAAAAACAGTGACTGACACCTCTTTTTCAAGTTAGGTCTTGCTCAGATCCTTTGTTCTTTTAAATACACAAAGGAGAAGAGTTAATTTTCGCCAGTGTTCCACTGGTGACACTTATTTCCTCCCATGGTGGATGAGTATTGTCTGGATTGACTAAAATCCGTTTCATAGGATTTTTTTTTTCTTCATTTAGTTCTGGCTGTGAAGCAAGATTTATGAGCCATTAATTTTTAACATCGTGGGTTTAGAACAATTATGTGAAATCCCAAAGTATTAATTATTAATATTGCTACTGTCCAAAAAATGTGCTGTATATACTGCTAGCATTCAATGAATAATAAAAGCTTTACTGAAAAGATAGGTTTTTAAAAATGTAGGTCTGGGTATACAAAAAAGTTTCAGGATACTTTTCAGATAACGTTTTGAAAGCAATGCAGATTTATGTAGAGTTAAAGCAGTGTTTCTCATTAGGTGCTTCACTGAAAAAAGTGAACATCTCTTTGTTTAGCCTTTGAAATGTGTTTCAGAGGAGCTCTATACATTTTCTATAATGTATTGTGTGGGGGGAATAGTGTGAGGAAATCTCGGTGTGTGCTGGAACATGTGGTTTTCTCTGTGCTGGTGCTTCTCCACCAGCCTCATCTGCAGATGCATCCCTGGCACTGTGTGTCCTGGGAGCGGGAGGCTGGTGTGGCCCAGCAGCCAGAGGGGGCCCTGCAGTGACAGGTCATGTGGTGAGTCAGTGCTGCACGTTCTATCACACACAGCAGCTCTGTGAGGCAGAACCATCTGACTTTTGGTCATCTGCTGGGTGTAACTATCGGTTACGTGTTTATAGCTTTGGAATATTGCCGTAAGTGGCTCATACCTATAACAAAGCTTTGGTCCTAGTATTCTTAATGTTTCCATAGCACAGTAGTTGTCAGTATGGACATATGTTTGCTAGGTTTTGATTTATGTTCATTTTAGTTACATTCCACTTGTATATTTCTGATAATAAGAGCTGTGACGCGAATTAATTTGAACATCAAAAGCAAAAATCTGACAAGATATGTTTGCAACCTAAAATATTACTTTCTATAGCTTAACAATATAATTGTCAGGAGTTACTACTTACTGCCATGAGAGGTGATGGATAGTGCACTCTTAAAGCTGAATTTAAATGGCAGTTACAGATTTTATTTGCATACACTGTTTTACATTTTTATCTCTTATGTTTTTTGGGGTATAGTGCATTTTAAGCATTAAGCTAGCATAAATCAGTGGTGCCACCTAAAGAAGATACCATAGTCCTCTGGCCTCTCATTCCCAACCCTAGTATGATGAAAGCCAGTAGTAAGCTATTTTTCATCCAGGCCAATTCACTGCTTCTTAAACAGCTGTACTCCCACACAGGCAAGGACAAGGAACAGGACACCATGACGTGGGGTGAAGACAGGACTCCCACTCTTTTGATAGTGCTGGCATATATTAATTCAAAGAAACAGTAATTTAATGAACATTGATCTGTTTTACACAGTATGAATAGCTACAACAGGGATTATTTGTAGTTTTCAACTGCCACATAATTTTCCACATGAGAAATAAAATGTAGAAAAATCTCGATGTTCTTGCATGCTGTAACACATCACAGATACTTTTTGTTGTGGTACTTCCTAGAAACACTGGAAAAATTAAAAAAACGGGTTTATTGGTGGTAGTCCTGTGTATTCCTTACGAAACCTTTGTCCTTAACCTCCTTTACAGGTATTCAAATTCCAAGCAGCATATGATCAGTACCTTTATATGTTGTGTGTAAACTGTTACTTTCTTAGCTCTGTCATTAGTAGATGGACATAATTGATTGAAACAATAAAAATATGATACTGTCTGGAAGCAAATATAAATTTACTTGGTTGTGAAATGTGTTCTACTTAGAACATAGGCTGTAAAGAAATAAAAAAACTTTTTTAAGTTGTGCAGGACATGATCTCACAAAATAATTCTCCTTAAAAAGAGATTAGACCCTTAATGGTTAATGTATGTAGCTGTTTCAGGTTCAGTAAAGGTCAGCTGATTCAGCAGGTATAAGGGAATACCAGAAATCTACGCTACACTGGTTGTCTAGCAAAAGGCAAATAATTAATTGGTAGTCAATAAAATAAATTTTTATGTTGAAAACTTAAATGAATCTGACTGTTTGACTACTTTGAGATGTTATTCTACAGACACAAGGAGGCAGGCTCTGATAAAAAAATCTCTGGTCTGTAATAACTGAAGAAATTATATCTCTGGCATAGACAGTTTGACTCAAAGTAATTTTTTTAACAATTGTAAGTCTTGAGAGTAGCTGTGTCTTCCAAAAATTTCTAGTTTAGAGTTTAAAGCAAGATTTTCCTTAATGGCTGTTGTTTCAGCCTTTCAGTAGTGTTGTTAAGCTCTTTGCAAAGATGATTGGTAGTTTATTTTGGACTTCTGTACTTACTGGGCATTGATGTTCTGATTCAAAAGTATTGAGAGAATGCGAATGAGTTGCCAGAAAGGGACTGATGTTTCATGATATATAACACCCTAACACACAACAGTGTTTGGATATCTAATGGATGCAACATGAGAAATTATGATTCTAGTAACTTCCAAAAAGCAGAGCTGTGATGACTTTTGCTTTACAGTGTGCTAAACATCAAAAAACATTCATGTGATATCAGTAAATTTGATCTTAAAAAAGGTGTGAAAAATTCTTCAGTTTTTAAATTCTTGACATGCAAAAACACCAGAGAAATGCTTCCGAAGGATCTTAGTATTGTATTAATGTTTCTGGTTTTGTGAGATCAAGCAGGAGAGAAAAAGCAAAAGGGACAATTTTTGTTCCCAGATCTAGTTGACAAAGTCTTGAACCAAAAGATTTCCAGGGCACGAAATAGGCTTCTTCTTCCAGTTTAAGCCAAACTGGAGGGTGTTCCACAGAAGATTTGTGCTCTAATCACTACAAGCTGTTTTATCATTGTGACTTGGCGATAACTAATCCAGAGTAGCTGCCTTGCCCTCCTGTTGCATTCTAGAGATCTCAATTGCTATAAATCCTACATTTAATGTAGTTTTTCTGATTTAACTAGAAATATTTCCTTTTCTTTATTAGACTGTAGAGACAAGCTTCTAAAAATGCTGGTAATTTAAATATTGTGCAAAAGCTTAGAAGCTTATGAATTCCAGTCTTATTCAAATTTTATAAGATCAAAATTAGTCCTTAAACCAGACTGAAATATGGTAGTGTAAAATACAGAGTAATTTCCTGGGATTTGTGATAGATATTACTAGATTATTTGTCAGCTAACCTTAATAGTTACCACTTGTTTGTCATTGGAAATTTTGTCTCACCTATTTATCTTGTTTACAAGTTCCTATTATTCAAATAAAATGGAATTGTAATGTAACTTACTGTAACTGTCAGGAATTTTAAGTAAGAGACATTTTATTTGAGATCATTTTGACTTGACAGAATTTGTCTAGCATGTTACATTACCCTGAATTATACTGCTGTGAGTCCATTTTCCTCACTAAAACTTAAAATATTGTGAAAGAACCCGAGGGGACGAAGGGGTCATGATATTTGCTTTCTCTGGAATGTTTTAGGTTTTTCAGTTGATGCTGCCAGTCTAATATCTTGTCTTTTGCTAAGTTTTCTTCAGCATCTTATAATGAAAAGGCAGTATAAGGCCCTTCAAAGTTTGTTTGTCAGAACTGTTTAATCTATTTTTAAAAGTCTTTGGATTCAGACAACTTGGGCTTAGCCATGTAGAAATACCATATATTTATGATTTGCATGCAGAAATTGCATGACTGAAATATGGCACATTAATGTTCATGAAAGCAAGCATAATTCA